CTTCAGGAATTCCTGGATTTCCATGGGGTCATTCCTTCAGGAATTCCTGAATTTCCATGAGGTCAGTCCTTCAGGAACTTCCTGAATTTCCATGGAGTCGGTTCCTCAGGAATTCCTGAATTTCCATGGGGTCATTCCTTCAGGAATTCCTGAATTTCCATGGGGGTGGTGCTTCAGGAATTCCTGAATTTCCATGGGGTCATTCCTTCAGGAATTCCTGAATTTCCATGGGGTCATTCCTTCAGGAATTCCTGAATTTCCATGGGATTTCTCACTCTATTCCCAGAAAACGCCGTGTTTATTGGGAATGTTGATGACACTGACGGATTGAAACGAGGCAGGGCCCAGCTTTTGGGTGAAAACCCTGATTTTTTGGAATAGTAAAGAACCGTAATTTCCCCCTGAGGAATCCCAAATTCCCCAGATTTGGTTGGAATATTTCTTGGATCTGTGGAATATCTCACGGTGATCGCGGTTTATCCTCAGCTCTGGATATCCTGGTCCCAAAGGCCGGATTCTTCTGCCAGATCTGCTCCCTCTTCTACGCCGACGAACCCTCCATGATCAACCACTGCAGGACCTCCCTGCACCGGCAGAACATGGAGGTACCGCCCGGGAAAACGGGAATATCTCCCCCCAAAATCCTTGGATTCCAGAATTCCCTGGGTGTTCAGCTTTGACGGGGTGTGGGAATGTGGAATATTTTCATTCCGTGCCCAGGTTGTTGGGAATTCTGATGGTTGAGATTCGGCCGCGTTCCACTCGGAAGCTTCCCGTGTCAAAGGGAGGCAAATTTGGGGGGGTTTGATGGGATTAAATCCCACCTTGGAGGAGCTGAGTGGACCTCAAGCTGTTCCTGGTTCAGGTTTTTTGGGAATAATCCTGGAAAATCCCTGCAGCGCCAACTCTTCTCCCTTTTCCACAGAAATTCATGGCCAAACAGCAGGATAACGACGGGGAGGAGCCGAGCTCCAGGTGATGGAACTTCCCCAGGAACGAAACATCGGGGCCAGTCAGTTCTGTGTGCTTGGATTTCGTTTGGGGTCGGGAAGGAACATCCATGATGGAAAAAAAAATTGGAGTTGGGAACAGACTAATCCCAAAGCAGGAGAGGGTTGGATTTGTGTCTCCGATCATCCCAGCGTGGGAAGAGACTGTTGTGGGCCAGGAAATAAATGTTCTCTCTGTATAGTTACCCCAGGGATTGAGTTTGGGGTCATTCCGTGGGGTTTGGAGATTCTGGATGACACCGGAGATCCAGGAAATCGATGGAGAGAGCCACGGGAAGGGGCTGGAACTCCAGGAGAGGCTGATTGAGCTGGGGAAGGGGCTCAGCCTGGAAAAAGTGAGGCTCAGGGGGGGAACTTCTGGCTCTGGAAAACTCCCTGGATTCTTGGAGCCAGGTGGGAGCTGGGATCTGCTCCCAGGGAACGGCCTCGAGCTGTGCCAGGTTGGATTTTGGGAGAATTCCGTTCTGGAAAGGGCTCTCCAGCCCTGGCAGGGGTGGGGTCCCCATCCCTGGGGGGATTTCACGCCCTGTGGCACTTGGGGACACGGACACTGCTGGCCTGGGCACAGCTGGACTCGATGGTCTCAGAGGGTTTTTCCCAATTCCATGATTCCATGAATCCCTGCCCTCAACCCAAACAATTCCATGAATCCCAACCTGCCCCCAGCCCTCTCAGTTCCACGGTGACATTCCAAACTTGGGGACCTCTCTGGAGCACTCAGCCCCTCCTGGGCCTCAGCAGCAGCCGACAGAAGAGCCACGGGAATCCAGGAATTCCTTTCATTCCTTTGCCCGGAGCTTGGGGCACTCTCTGAGTTTTTGGGAATTCAGCCAGGTGGGTCGGAAGGGGAAACTTGGAATAACTCTGGGAATGCCCAAGTTTTCTGGGATCAGCGTTGGGGACCGGAGAGCGGCCGTGGGTGTGGGAAAGGTGCCCCTGGCACCGATGGGATGGGCAGGGATGTGTCCCCTGCTCCGTTGGGCACGGCTCCTGGTGAGGAAAGTCATTCCCACTGGGACATCTCCTGGTGGATTAAATCTTCCCATTGGGACAGAGTTTTGTATCCGTTGGTTTTCCCTTCCCGTTCTTGGCGTCTCTTGGCTTTTCCCTGGAATGGGTCTTGGTTGATGGATTCTTCCATGTGAGACATCTCCTGGTTGATGGGTTCTTCCACATGGAATGTCTCTGGGTTGATGGATTCTTCCACATGGAATGTCTCTTAGTTGAAGGATTCTTCCATGTGAGACATCTCCTGGTTGATGAGATCTTCCCATTGGGATATCTTGTGGATGATGGATTCTTCCATGTGGGACATCTCCTGGTTGATGGATTCTTCCACATGGAATGTCTCTGGGTTGATGGATTCTTCCATGTGAGACATCTCCTGGTGGATTAAATCTTCCCATTGGGACAGAGTTTTGTACCCCTTGACGTTCCCTTGGCGCTGCTCTGGGTGTCTCTTGGTGTCACCTTGGCACGGATCTTGGTCAGTGAATTCTTCTGTTTGGGACTTCTCCTGGTTGATGGAGTCTTCCACATGGAATGTCTCCTGGTTGATGGATTTTTCCATTTGGGACATCTCCTGGTGGATTAAATCTTCCCATTGGGACAGAGTTTTGAATCCGTTGGTTTTCCCTTCCCGTTCTTGGCGTCTCTTGGCTTTTCCCTGGAATGTGTCTTGGTTGATGGATTCTTCCATGTGAGACATCTCCTGGTTGATGGGTTCTTCCACGTGGAATGTCTCCTGGTTGATGGATTCTTCCATGTGAGACATCTCCTGATGGATTAAATCTTCCCATTGGGACAGAGTTTTGTACCCCTTGACATTCCCTTGGCGCTGCTCTGGGTGTCTCTTGGTGTCGCTCTGGCACAGATCTTGGTCAGTGAATTCTTTTTGGGACTTCTCTTGGTTGATGGATTCTTCCATGTGGGACATGTCGTGGTTGATGAGATCTTCCCATTGGGACATCTCGTGCTGGATGGGTTCTTCCACGTTGGACATCTTCTGGTTGATGGATTCTTCCACATGGGACATCTCATGGTTGATGGATTCTTCCACATGGAATGTCTCTGGGTTGATGGGTTCTTCCATGTGGAACATCTCCTGATGGATTAAATCTTCCCATTGGGACAGAGTTTTGTACCCCTTGACATTCCCTTGGCGCTGCTCTGGGTGTCTCTTGGTGTCGCTCTGGCACAGATCTTGGTCAGTGAATTCTTTTTGGGACTTCTCTTGGTTGATGGATTCTTCCATGTGGGACATGTCGTGGTTGATGAGATCTTCCCATTGGGACATCTCGTGCTGGATGGGTTCTTCCACGTTGGACATCTTCTGGTTGATGGATTCTTCCACATGGGACATCTCATGGTTGATGGATTCTTCCACATTGAATGTCTCTGGGTTGATGGATTCTTCCATGTGAGACATCTCCTGGTGGATTAAATCTTCCCATTGGGACAGAGTTTTGTACCCCTTGACGTTCCCTTGGCGCTGCTCTGGGTGTCTCTTGGTGTCACCTTGGCACGGATCTTGGTCAGTGAATTCTTCTGTTTGGGACTTCTCCTGGTTGATGGAGTCTTCCACATGGAATGTCTCCTGGTTGATGGATTTTTCCATTTGGGACATCTCCTGGTGGATTAAATCTTCCCATTGGGACAGAGTTTTGAATCCGTTGGTTTTCCCTTCCCGTTCTTGGCGTCTCTTGGCTTTTCCCTGGAATGGGTCTTGGTTGATGGATTCTTCCATGTGAGACATCTCCTGGTTGATGGGTTCTTCCACGTGGAATGTCTCCTGGTTGATGGGTTCTTCCACGTGGAATGTCTCCTGGTTGATGGGTTCTTCCATGTGAGACATCTCCTGATGGATTAAATCTTCCCATTGGGACAGAGTTTTGTACCCCTTGACATTCCCTTGGCGCTGCTCTGGGTGTCTCTTGGTGTCGCTCTGGCACAGATCTTGGTCAGTGAATTCTTTTTGGGACTTCTCTTGGTTGATGGATTCTTCCACATGGAATGTCTCGTTGTTGATGGATTCTTCCATGTGGAACATCTCATGGTTGATGGGTTCTTCCACATGGAATGTCTCCTGGTTGATGGATTCTTCCATATGGAACATCTCCTGGTTGATGAGATCTTCCCATTGGGACAGAGTTTTGTACCCGTTGGTTTTCCCTTCCCGTTCTTGGCATCTCTTGGCTTTTCCCTGGCACGGATCTTGGTTGATGGGTTCTTCCATGTGGAACATCTCTTGGTTGATGGGTTCTTCCATGTGGAACATCTCGTGGTTGATGGGTTCTTCCATGTGGAACATCTCGTGGTTGATGGGTTCTTCCACATGGAACATCTCCCGGTTGATGAGATCTTCCCATTGGGACACACTTTTGTATCCGTTGACTTCCCGTGGGCTCGGCCTTTGGGATGTTCCAGCTTTCCCTGGGGCAGTGTGGTATTCCCAATGGGACATCCCTTGGCTCAGGAGTTCTTGCCATTGGGACAACTCTTGGGATCTGCTGGGTTCCCCATGGCACCATTCTTGGGATCTGCTGGGTTCCCCTTGGCAGAACTCTTGGGATCTCTTGGATTCTCCATGGCGCAACTCTTGGAATGTCTTGGATTCCTCTTGGGATCCTCTGCATTCCCCTTGGCACCATTCTTGGGATCCATTGGATTCCCCTTTGCTCCGCTCTTGGTTGGCGAATCCTTCCTGCTGGGACAGATCCTCGCACCCGTTGCCTTTCCCCTGGCGCAGCTCCCGGTGCCTCCTGGTTTTCCCTTGGCCCAGTTCCCGGTGCCTCCCGGTTTTCCCTTGGCCCAGTTCCCGGTGCCTCCCGGTTTTCCCTTGGCCCAGTTCCCGGTGCCTCCCGGTTTTCCCCTGGCGCAGCTCTCGCTCCATGAACTCTTCCACGCGGGACATCTCCTGGGTGATGAGCTCCAGACATTGGGACAGGTCTCTGTATCCATGGACTTCCCCCTGGCTCATCCCTTGGGATCTCTGCGTTTCCTCGGGATCCCTGTGGATCTCTTCCGTGTCCCCCTTGGCACAGCCCTCGGGAAGCGCAGAATTCCCACTTTTCCTGCTCCAACATCCCCTGGCCCTCCCGGGAGCGGAGCCTCCGCAGCCCTCGGGCCGGCGGGGAGTTGGGATTCGGCTTCTCCAGAGGGATCCGGGAGCTGCTGCTGTCCTGGGAACGGCCCTGAACCCTTTGGGATCACAGCGGGATCGGGGCACGCGTCACAACGGGACATCCCAGCGCCCCAACAACCACGGCACCTTCTGGAACCTTCGGGAACCTTGTGGAACCTTTGAGAACCTTGTGGAACCTTGTGGATGTGCAGCCCCGGGGAGGAGGATCAGGGTGAAATCCCAGACACGGCCCTGGAAGAGCCTGGCTGGCTCTGACCCCGCTCGTCCCGTGGGGTGCGGGGAGGTTTCCCGGCAGGATTCCTGCCTGGAAAAGCCACGGCGCCTTTAAGGCATCACCAAGCGGGATTTGGCGGCCGCACCAGGAAATTCCTGACATCCCGGGAAGCGCTGAGGCAGCCGAATCCAGAATCTGGAGCCTGGAAGAGTGCCAGGAGCACTTGGGAATTCTCCAAACCTCGAAAGTGCCGTGACTCGGAGCCGCTCCTCCTGGAGCCGCTCCAGAGCCTCGACGGAACAAAAACCTTCCCAGCATCCAGGCCTTGGAATTGCTGGATTCCCTGGGAATCGGGCAGGGAATGCTCCGTCCCCGCCGCCAGGGGATGGTGAAGGAGCATCCCAGGGTGATGCGGATCCAAAGGATCCCGGAGCAGCGCCAGAGCCGGAGGGACCCGTCCCTCTCCTTCCAGAGGGAGCGGGGATGAGGACAAGGGACGGGGATGGCTCCGGCGCCTGCGGGAGATCCCAATAAAAGCAGGGAAAGCCGAGCCGGGAATGTTTTTTTTCGGGGTGGAAAAGGAGCGCGTGTGAGACCCCGCGCAGGGTGGGGGGAGAGGCAGGACCCAGAGCCCCTTCCCCGGCACCCGGAGCAGCTCCCGGGGCACCCCCGAGAGGGGTCGGGGCCGGGGGCCGCCCCTCGCCGCCGGCTTCGGCCCCGCTCCGCCGGCAGCGGCGGCTCCGGGACCTCCCGGGTCCCCGGGCTCGGCCGGCGCTGCCGCCGCTCCGCCGGTCCCTCCCCGACAGCGGGGACACTGCGGGGGGACAGCGGGACACGGTGATGGGACATCCACATACGGTGGGGACACGGTGGGGACACGGTGGGGACACCGGGCAGGGCCCGCAGGTGAGCGGGCAGGAGCCGGTGGCCCCCGTTGGAGGTGACACGGGGGTCCCGTGATGCGGGGAGCGGAACCGGGGCCGTTTCACGGGGCGGGGCGGGCAGGGCCCGGCCGGGGGTCCCGGGCAGGGGGAGGGCAGGAGGCAGGAGGGGGTCCCGGGCAGGAAGCGGGAGGGGGTCGCGGCCGGGCGGGGAAGGGGCGGAGGGAGGGGGCGGGAGGGGCCGGGAGCGGGTCCAGGAGCGAGCAGGGACCGGCAGGGAGCGGCAGGACCGCGGCCATGGCGGGTTTGCCCCTCGCCCCGCTGCTGCTCCTGCTCCTCCTCCTGGGCCCCCCGGCGCCCCCCGCCCGCGCCGCGCCCCCCCAGCCCGGCCGGCCCCGCTCCACCGGGCTGGGCACGGCCAGCGGGACCCCCAAAACCAGCGGGGTGTCCCCCAGAAACCGCAGCACCACGGGAACCCCCAAAACCAAGGGCATGGCCGGAGGACCCCCTAAAAGCAGCGAGACGCCCCCCTGGAAAGGCAGCACGACCGTGCCCCCCGCGAAGGGCAGCACGGAGAGACCCCCGAGGGACAGCGCGGAGAGACCCCCGAGGGACAGCGCGGAGAGACCCCCGAAGGGAAGCACGGCCGGAACCCCGAAGGACAGCACGGCCGGAACCCCGAAGGGAAGCACGGAGAGACCCCCGAAGGGAAGCACGGCCGGACCCCCGAAGGGAAGCACGGAGGGACCCCCGCAGGGAAGCACGGAGAGACCCCCGAAGGGAAGCACGGAGAGACCCCCGAAGGGAAGCACGGAGAGACCCCCGAGGGACAGCACGGCCGGACCCCCGAAGGGAAGCACGGAGAGACCCCCGAAGGGAAGCACGGAGAGACCCCCGAAGGGAAGCACGG